TTTTGTCCCTTCTGCTGATTCTTCCATGCTTTTGCCAGCTTAGAAATTCCAGAGGGTCCCCAGGCTTGGTCTGCGGACCTCCTCTCTGTTGAAACTCGGCAGTCTCGCCCGTGCGTCTGAGTGTCACTGCCTCTCTAAGCCGTGACCCCTCCCACGACTCTGCTGCTGGGCGCTCTGTGGCCTCACACTCCCAGGTGCCCCCTCAGAGTCCCCAGAAGTCTAGAGCACATCTCAGACTTAACCTGCCCAAGACAGAGCTTCCAATTCCAAATCCGCCCCTCGCTGACCTCACCATCTCCGTTAACAGACACGACCTCTTTTTTTTTTTTTCAGTTTTCCAAATAAAAGATTCGGGCGTCATCTTTGATTCCCACATTAGTTTGCTGGAGCTGCTATCGCAAAGTGCCACAACCTGGGTGGCTCAAATGACAGAAATTTGTTTTCTCGGTGTTCTGGGGCTAGAAGTCTAAGATCAAGGTGGTAGTAGATTTGCCTCCTCTGGGGGCCTCGAGGGGAGGTTCCAGGCTGGCAGGGGCCCCCTGGGTCTTCACACGGTCTTCCTTCTGCTCCTGTCCGAGTTCCGTCACTGGACTCACGCCCCGTCCCCTGACACGCTCCGGCAGGCGTGTGCTCCTTCCAGCTGCCCCTCACCTCCACATTTCCTCTCTGCTCATCCGGCCCCTCACCCTGGCTGCCTTTCCCCGTTCCTTTCACATGGGCCAGGGCTCCCCAGGCCGAGCGCCTTTGCCTTCTCTCTCCCTGGCCAAAATCTTCCTTTAGCTCCCCCCTAACGGGCTCCTTCTCATGCTCAGACCTCGCCTTGCACGTGAGCTACTCTGACTACCTAAGGTAGCCCTCGTCCTAACCTACTCTATCAATGTACTTGTCTTTCATTACGTGTATCATCGGCAACCACCTCATGTAGAATGTATTTGTTTGCTTGTTTACTGTCTGTCTCTTTCTATGAGTATATACGTTGCTTGATGATCAAAACTTCTCAGCCTTGGTCACTAATCTACCCCCAACCCTAGGGGCTCAATACATGTTTACAGGGGAAATATGAATGAATGGGTTAGTGGGACCCTCTAATGCCACGGTCTTTACACAAACTGCATCATGTACTTGAAACAATTACTTGGACACACACACACACACACACACATTTGGGTGGCGGAGAGGAGACAGACAGGTTGAAGATCTGATTGAAAACAGAGTTTGGAATAGACTACATCCATCTTCTTCCTTCGGGTCACCAAAGCCTTGAAAACATGACTTTTCTTAACCTGCAATGCAAAGCCGTGGGTTCTAGAAGGTTCTGTGGGGAAGGTCGCTCTCTGCCTTTGGACAAAGGGCGCCCAGCCGAGCCGTGTGACAAGGGAGGTGAAACCACTTCCAGCAGCTGCCACCCAACTTGAAAAGGGTTGATTGATATGACAGAGACTTTCTAGAAGAACACGAATCAAAGGCCATGACTGACAGCGGAGTAAACAGGTTAGCACTAGAGTAATTAGGCATATATTAGCAATTAAAATAAACTTATTATCATTAGCAGAATTGGCAGTTACTTGCCATTTCCCCGGGGGCCTCATTTCAAGTTTATCCTCGCAGATTATATTAAGGCAGAATTAATGTTTTTGGAGATACAGTTTTGATTCGTCTCATTACTCGTCACAGTGCTTAGTACGGGGAAGGCACTCGATGAATATTTGCTGACGGAAGGGAGGAGGGAAGGAAGGGAGGAAGAAGGGGAGGAAATAAGGGGGGAACTGGAATTCTAGAGGGGCTGGCAAACACGGGAGCTGGTTCACCTGCCACAAAGCTGCAATGAGAAACTCTTCTGAAGGAAAAGTAATGTAAGTACGGTGGAACTGTAGCCACAGTGTCAGTCACTCAACATAAGATACCCAATTATGTACAATAATTAAGGTAATCAGAATAACTTTCTAGGTCCATGTCCCTGGCGTTTGTTCAGCACGAAAGAAGTAGGAAGACTGTTGTGCTGTTATTGGAATTTCAAAACACTCTCTCCGAGATTCACTTCTCCCACTTATGTGCACAAAAATGTAGCTAGCACTTTCCTCAGGAAGTGCACGCGTCTTGTTACATTTCCAGGAGCCAGAGAAATGAGCCTATTTTGAATAATGATTTGCATAAACAGACACACACCATGACTCCTTAAACGGTCTCATTTGTTTGAGTGAAATGAACTTGACTTTGCTTGGAGCTGTCACCTCATGTGAGTGATTTCCCAATTTCCCGTCCTGTCGCTGGGCTGTGGCAGTCACGGCCCATTTGTACACCTGCCCTTCACACCCCACGGGTGCTCTGTCTGGGAAGCACAGTGACTGTGATGCTGGCCTGAGGAAGGACACAGCACGAGCAGCCCGGCCTGGCCCGTGACAAATGACTGAGTGAGATTCCTGGTTTTGCTGATTTATTACCCAAGGCTCTTCTCTGTGTCGCTAGAGTGGTGACAATCCGTCAAAGCCCTGCTCCTGGAAGGAGCCCTTATCCTCAAGTTTAGTGGAAAGGTCCCAACGACAAGGAAGTGTCTAATGACCAGAAGGGGGCACCCTCCCAGGGGATCCTGCTAGATCTCCTTAAACAGCGAGCACCTTTGTGACCATCCCGCTGAAGTCACACGAGTCTCTGCATCCAGGACAGCCACGTTCTCGGTTCATCAACTCGCTCATTCAGCCATTCGGCAAACAGTCGCTGGGCACAGAACGGGAGTCGGGAGGTGGGCTGAGAGCTGGGCCTCGGAGACGAAACACAGACTCCCTCCCTGCCCACAAGCAGCTCTCCGTCTCGAAAATGATGCAGCACAGGATGCAGGCTCAGGTCCAAAAGCCTGGACCCACTATCCCGCAATCCCACTGGGCCCCGGGTTTCCTTTCCTGTGATACGCAGAGGGCAACACCGCCTGCCCCCAAGGGCTGCTGTGAGAATTAACTCGCACCTCAGAGCATTTGGGCAGCGTTTAGGACACATGCAGGATGACAGTTCCATCGTTTAACGCGAGTGTGGTGAACCAACAGAGACCCCCGTTTCATTGACATTGAGTTTTTCAGGAAAAGTTCAAGGCCCTGTGACCACCAGAGAGTAAGAGTGAGGTTCCGGTTCAAGAGTGAGTTTTTCTGAAGGTGAGGATAGAAGCTCAGCGTCAATATATCAGACCCCTAGGTGGCCGTTGCTCTCCAGAACTTTCTAGAGCCCTGGACTGTCTTTCTCTTTTAACTTAGACGCTGAGACCCTTGATACGGGACTTGACTTCAGGCCTCTGTTGTCTCAGAAACTCTTTCTCTATCTGGAATCTGCCCCCAGGCCCAGCTTCCTGCCAGAGGCCAGATCACTTTCCGCCCGGAGGAGCCCTGTGCTGTCACAATGCACCCGTTCCGCACAGGCACGTTTGCAGAACTAGCCGGCCGCTCAGGGCCTGGCATCTCCTCCAGGGGTCATCAGACACCAGCGCGCATGCCTGCCAGGGGCACAGCCGCGGCCGACGGTCTGAACTGTTACCTGCATGTGGAAACGGTGAGTTTTCGCTCCGGAGGGTGGCGTCGCCTGTGTGATGCCACACGAAGGTAGGTATGTGGGTTTGAACTAGATCTCCGAACCCAGGGGCCACATTCTGCACCCCCGCCACGGCCCTGCTTCCAACAACAGTGAGATGACGGGAACCAGGCTTTGGGGGAGAAGCGGTGGATAGTACCTACAATTACAGTTTGAGAGCTTTTGGGCACCTCCTTGGAGCTCCAAATACTTCTCCCACCGCGGGGACACAGTGCCTGAAATCCCACCATTCCAGGTCCCTTCCTTCCCCCGAGGGCCTCCATGACCCTGGGCGGCTAACTTCCCAAGCAGTGGTCTCTGCAGTCGTCCCCGCCTTCTCTCTGGTTCCCCCGCCCTTCCCTCCGCCCGGTTTGCCTCCGCCCCTGCTCTGCCTCTACCCTGCACACCTAGGAACGGCCCACGATAAACACGGAACGGGAGTCTGCTTAAAGAATACCTTTCTTTGCACTCAACTTTGCCCCACGAATCTTCTCTGAAATTGCAAACATACGTGCATATGAAGATAAGGCAACAACTGGGATGGGAGGAGGTTTTTGTTTTAATCTTTTACATACTGCTTTTTTTTTTTTGCAAATGGGGTACAGGGCAATACGTTTCTCATAATGATACTTAAACACAAAATTACTTTTGGGAGGTCTCAGACATTAAAGCGCCGCCATCAGGACGATCAAGAAGAATGTGTTTACTGATGCCCTTCCTAGTCCAGACTTGGGGGACAGTATGGGGGGGGGGCGATTTGGGAGAGGCTTGGGTTACTGTGGGCGGAGCAGTGAGATGGCGCAGGCAGACTTCCTATACTCTCTGTTGGGACTGCTGCTTAGGGAAACGTGAAACACAGTGGGTGGGGTCTTCTGAAAACTTTTTGGCTGGAAACTGATTGGTGTTGGGCGGTGACTCCGAAGAGAGGACGACTAACCTTTACACCGAGCCCGTTGTTTTTGAAACAGTGTCTCTCGGTCACTCAAATTTTCTCGTTAAAGCTTCTCAAAGATCTTCGAAGTTGTTATTATTATCACTCAGTTTCCCAGAGGGAGAAACTGAGGCTCGGGAAGTTTAAGGTCAAGCCGCTAGTACATGGAGTGAAGTCAAATCTTGATCACCTGGTTCTGGAAGGTGTTAAATAAAATACAAAAAGAAAAAACGCCTAGAGACACGCCTAGGAGGCCCAGGAGGTGGATCCCATCAGGAAACGGGAGCCCGTCCGATCTCGGTTTAGCCTGGCCGGGTGACACGGAGGAAGGGAAGCGGCCCGCGGAAGGCCAGGCGGGGGTCGTGGAGCCCAGCGAGGTCTGGGGTGGGGACAGCCCTGTCTCCGCCTACGAGCCCCTCCACCGCGGGGTCTCACGCAGGGCTCCTCCGGAGTTCACGAAAAGCTGCGCCGCCTGGTCCCGCTCGGCCTCCGTAGAGTCCTCGTTGCCATGGTTCCCAAGGACCGGTGCGGACGCGCAGGGACCAGAGAAGGGAGTCCCGGCGATCCTGGGTCAGGCTCCCGGGACACACGAACCGCAGAGGCGCCATGGGCCGGAGTAAGCTCCCCCTTCCACCTTCCGCTCTCGATCCTTCCCTTTCCAGGCATCGTCCGGGGTCCACTCGGACCCTCCGTGCCAGCCCTGACCCGAGCCCAGCGCCAGCGCGGCACAGCCTGTCCCTTCGCCCTGTGCAGACCCAGCTGGACCGGGTCCTCTTCCGACCCTCCTGGCCGCCTGGCTTCTGAGAGGCTTGGGGTCACCCTCTGTGAAATGGGGTGCGCGTGAGGTGAATGGAAAGGGGCAGTGGGAGCGCAGGGGTCACACACACTGCGTGCGCGCCCGCACGTGCCCTTACCTGCTGTGTGGTCGCGGGCTGGTCGCTGTCCCAGAGCCGCAGCTCCAGACCAGTTCGGGAAGGCAGGGTGCCCAGGGGTCCAGGGGTCCGCGTCTGGCCTCCCTGCTCCACCTGCTCCTTAGGAGCCAGTGACTTCACCCCTTTGGGCCCCAGCCTCCTCAGCTCCAGAACAGTAACAAGGCAAGAACCATATCGTTGTACAGACCCAGTGCTGTAAAAGTGCTCCTTCAAAGACACGGAGAGAACCGCGTGAAGTGGTGGGGTTAACAGGCACGCTCGTCAGGTCGAACTGTTCACAGTGGAAGGAACCAGTGTGGTGCCGGCACCATTTGTCCTCCCTGAAAGGCGATTTGGTGCAGTGCGACCCAATCGATCACTTACTGTAAAAAGTGTTACGGTTAATATTTTAAAGCCAAGAGACTGTGCTAAATGACGCGATTTCTGCTGTGGAAGAGCGGACCTCCTGGCAGCGGGATGTGCGGAGGACTCGTAAACGTGACCACCCTATTCCTAAACCAGGTCCTGCTATTTCCTCTCCGACACATTCCTAAAACAATAAGAAAAAAATAGACAAAGAGTTGTTAAAAAATTAAATGAAAATTTTCTTTCTCTCCTCCTTTTACCCCTGGATGTTACCTATGGAAAAGGAAAACCGTTGTCCGCACAAAGACTTGTGTATGTCTGTTTATGGCAGCTGCTCTCCTAGTAGCTAAAAAGAAAAAGAAACAACCCAAATATTCTCCAACATTTGCATTTATTAGTGGATTAACAAGTCGCGGGCTCACTGCGCGCTGCACGTGGGCGTGACTGCACTTACTGCCTGGACGATGTCCCTTGCGTGTCCCCACTCTAATAAGGACACTGGGACAATGCTTTGCATCTGCAGGCGTTCCGGTCAGCTTGAGCCCCTTCTCCCAGTCTGTGATCATTCAAGTAGTGGCCATCAGTTTGTTCTTTTAAAGGGTTGGAGGGATCATTGCCACGTAGTCTTGCTAGGGTGTTGCAGAGGCCTTCCCTTTGGGGACCCAGCCTCTCTTTCGGTCAGTGGGTTGGCAGATAAAATACAGGAGAGAGAGAGAGAGAGAGAGAATGTAGAGAATGTATCCCCCCACCCCAAATCTGTCAACCCCAGTTTCAGGTCCCAGGACAGGCAAAGGCCTAAAAAACTAGGCAGGAACCTGTGAATGTTTATGGAGGTGATGTCCTTATCCTTCAGGTCATCGACGCTTGTTGTGTGTTGATTGTCCGGACTGAGCAGTATTGTCGTTGGCTGCCCATCTATATTGTCCTTAGGGGTGTCGTGTACTGTTAACCTTCTCTCCGTGGGTAAACCCCCCCACTGGCTGTCACTTTGACCTTGCCCGTCATCGTAACATCTACCTGGCAGTAATGGTTGGTGTCCTAGTTGCCGCCTGGGCATCGGGGGATCTGACCTCAAAGCCCCGTCTTAGCCTCTGCTTTTGGTACCGCTTCCGGCATCAAATCTCCCAGGGCAGGCTCCCCAGGAAGCAGACTTTCGGATGGAGATCAGCGTGCAGGTTTCTCGGGGAGTGTGGCTGGAGGGGCTAGGAAGAAAGCGAGGTTGTCTGGAGAGGGACTTTGTGATGCATCTTAACAAAGGCTTTAGCCAACCTGGACCCTTGCAAGGATCTCTAAACTTGGAACAGGGGCCATCGCAAGCTGGGGTGGGAGGGCTGGGCCTTCGTAGCCCCCTGGCAACCGGTCTTTGGAGATGGGCTTTGCTGGGGAGGGGCGTGACCTCCATTGAGGTGTTTTCATCTGAAGTGACTCCTGAGGAAGGTGGGCAGCTGGGGGCTGTCTGCTGGCAGATTGCCCAGCAGGAGGAGTTGCTCTTTCAGAACTGAGGGGAAGCCTGTGGCACAGCCTGGCAGGTGCGGCAGCTGGGCTGCCCTTTCCTCGTTTGCCCATCCGCAAACATCTCCCCCCAGTGCCAGAGTCAGCTCAGACTTCTCCCTGAGGCCTCTTTTGACCTCCCTCCTGTCGCCCAGTAGCACTGACCATGCCCCCCCTGCTGTGCGCGGTGCTGTGCACGTCCATGGTTGCCCAGTTGCACTTGACTGATGTTTGCAATAGCACGCTCTCCGAGAGCAGAATACAGGAAGCACATTATGATAACACAGCAGGAAAAGGCAGGCCAAATGAGTCGCCCTGTTTTTAAGAGTTTCTTTTTAAAATAAGTAACAGAAAGAAGAGTCATTAGCTGCTTAGGAGGTAACCACTTATTTGTAACCCCTTAATTTCTCTTAAATCTCTGTGTCATGTACAGGGTGGAGCAAAAGCAGGTTTACGGCTGTGAGTATGCAAAACACAGTTTACTCTTGTACTATTATTTATTAATTACTGTATTATTTTCCACACGGACAGCAGTAGTAAGCCTGCTTTCTGCTAGGTCTTTCAAGATGTTTAAAAATTCTGCAAAAGCTGCCACAAAGATATAGTATTGATTTCATTCTAATCCAGCGAGAAACAGAGGGCTGTTTACAAAGCATGAGCTAAAGCCTGAAGGAGTGGACACTAAATTGCTGGCTCGGGGAGTTTCTGAGACGTTGCTCGTTACACCAAAGAGCTTTGCGGAAACCAGCCCATCCGGGCAACCGCCCACAGGCCGCCCTCTGTCCTCTGCTCCCCCGCCCATGAGTCGTGTCACTGACACTCCCTCGAGGTGCCAAGAATCCAGTCATAGCAAGGGTGGAAAGGACGCCTGGGCCAGCCGATCAATTTTGGTTAAACTCCTAGAATCCTCAGCAGAATTCTTTCAGTGAGAGAAGCAGGGAGCTGCGGCTAAAGCCGTCAGTACAGTTCGTGGGCCACTCATCCTCCCCAGTCGTGCGACGTTGGCTTGGACCTTCTGTGGCCGAGACATCGCGCAGAATCCAGCCAAGCCCTGCATTTTGCTATTTGCGTTTTTCCAAAATAAGGAAGTGAAAGCAATACGTTGCATGCAATGCCCTGGCGCGTTCTCCTACACCCTACAGTAGGCCTCGTAAACCACCTCTCTTGAAATAGTCATACGATGCCATATTAAGGCTTCCAAGGCATTTGAAATCCCTAGAGCGAGTTCTTGTAAACACAGTGCTTTATTATTTAGAGTAGGACTCTCTAAAGGTGAACAGCCCTCCTTGGGGTTCAAGAACCTTTGCTCTAAATTATGTGGTAAGTAAAACTGCAAAGCGCTTTTGCACTGAAAAGCACGAAACCCCATAATCCCCATACAGCACGTAGAATATCCCGACAGGCTGCTCCTTGGGGAGTCCGGTTTCGGCACTGATGTCTGCCACTGCAGGCAAGGCCATGCTGTGTCACAGCAGTTTCTCGAGTGCTACCAATGGCGTGCCACCCAGCAGCTTGCTTAATATAGAAGAGTTCAGAAAAGGGCCTCCGGGAAATTCAAGACCTTCCCCGTTTCCTGGCTCCTGTGATTCTCCGTTGTTTTCCAGCCTGTGCTAATTGTGTATTGTTGCCAGGGGGCAGACCTCCCTGTTGTGCTGAATTAACTCTCAGCCCCTCCTCTCCCTCGTGTGTGCCTGTGTGCAGACTAGTTATTTCTGGTGAGGGAGATTCCCCTGCCCCTCCCCCTTTTCAACTAGGAGCGATTGCCGTCTTAATTCTGACGATCAGGAGATACGGATCAACATAATTCCTTCCTATTAGCTACGTACCCCCGACTGCAAAGATTTGACAAGTGCGTGGAAATGATCAAATTCACACGTATAATAGCATAATAAAAATAGTTTTTTTAATTTGAAGAAAGGTGGAGCAAGAGCACATAAGAAGGGTATTTGGTACCAGTAGGAACTTGGTCAGCCATTGGAGGAACCTGCCAGTCTTTAGGTTTGGATAAATCAGAAGAGCCTTTCCGGCTGTAGAGCTGCGGGGGGTGGGGGTGGGGGGCGCTGGGATACCTTTGGTGTCCCTGAGATGCAGGAAGCCCTCTGTGGGCTGAGCGGACGCTGATGCAGCCACCAGGCCAGGGACCAAGTGATGCCTAACAGAATGCTTTCAGAACCCCCCCCAACATGACATCGTACTTAACCACACCTGCAGCCGGCAGCCCCTGTGGAGTCCAGTTAGGTTCAGAGCTTCAATGTGGGTTCCCCGCTGGGCCTTCCCAGGTGCCTGGGCATCGGGTCTGGGAAAGAATGTCAGTGCAGGACCATGCATCAGGTTGCAATGGAACTGACCAATGTGTTTTCCTCTCTAGAAGAATGCCTTCGTAACAACCCAGAGGGCTACATGTAATGCACGTTTCTCGGATTCCTCAGGGTCCGCGCCGGGGCAGGGCTGCTGGGGGAGCTGGCTCCCTGGGCCTCCCCTCCCCCTCTGTCGTGCCCCGCTCCCCCGGCCAGGCTCTATCCTGGTCCCTCACGCCCATGTATGAAGGTGGATGCTGCCTGCACACCAAACCACTCACATGCCCGGAAAACAGCTGCTTCTCGGACCCCCTGCGAGGAGAGATGCATACCCGGTGCAGTCTGTCTTCAGGAATGAGCCTGGGGACGCGGCCGGTGCAGGGCTCGGAGCAGGCCTGGGGCAGCTTGGGCAGAGGATTCCACTGCTCCCGCACCCAGGCATGGTCTGGGAGGACAAGCATGGGCTCTGGTTGGGCACGTCCTTCTGGCCCCATTGATTCCAGGTCTGATGGTAGCAAGGTCCCAGAAATCCGCCCTCCCTCATCCATGGGTTTGTGGAGCTCACTTAGACCTACAGGAAACACTCCCCCTGCAGGGTCTTTTAATCTCTCCACCTCCGCATTTCCCTTGTGTCTCTTCCAAAGGACCGATGTTGCAAGCCACCGCATCCCGTATCCCTAGAAGTAGCAGAGGCTCCAGACAGCTGTGCACAAATGATCAGATTCGTGCATGTTTCCCGTTTTTTAATAAAGGCAAACTCCACTTCAAGGATGTGTCATGGCTGTGGGGCAGCGAGAGCTTTGTCTCAGCTAGAGGAGCCTGGGCGTTTAGGCCCTAAGACATCGCGAGAGGTTCTTATTAGTGCACATCAGGGACAGTGTAGCTAGTACAGAGCACCAGGTGGGCGCTGGACTCCTGCAGGTAAAACGTGGCTCTAGCACCCCCTGTGAAGCCCTCGGACGGGTTGACTGTGCACTGTGCCTCCACTCCTCATCTGACAAGTGTACACAGATATTGGGTCTACTCCTGTTGTCACACATGCAAAGCATGTAGGACGATGCCGGGAACCTTGTAAACGGGCAGTAAATGAGTCTTTATGGGGCAGACAGGGAGTATTTTCGGATTCCTAAAACACAAGGGTTCAAACGGACGAATAGTTTTTTGCAGCCCTGGAAATGGAGGGTTTCTCCGTTGCCATCCCTCCTCGACTCGGTGCACCTTATGCAGATAATTCTGTGTCTTGTCTTCGGCTCCAACCGTGGACCCCAGGGTACTGTCGCCAGTCCCTTGGTGCCGGCAGCAGGCCGGCCCTGTGCCACCTCCCTGTCGCTGGGGAGCAGACTCTGGTTCCCCAGCAGCTTCTTGCACTCATCCCGGAGATGCACCGGTGGCGTGGCTGTGTAAGACTGCAGCACGGAGTCGCGGTGTTCCTCTCTTTTCTCTTCAACTCTAGTTAAAGGAATGCGTGTCCGTCGAATGAACGAGTGGGCGAATTTCCTCGTGGCGTGGTGGGACATGCTTGCCTGTTTCTGCCCTCCGCCAGCCCCACTCCACGGTGCCTCTCAGCAGCGAGTTTCTCTGTCTTGGGTCTCACGCAGTCTGATAGGCACCCCCCAAGATTCCCTATCAGCATTCCTGTGGTCATTACCCGTCAACCCTGTCTCCATCCGCACAAGACCCCGCTCCGGAGACAAAACTGTGGCATCATCGCTTCTCTTCCCTCTGACCCCATCACGGTGCCACAGAACCTCCAGCAGGGGGCAGCACTTTCCTTCGGCGGGGGGAACCCCTGGGCCTGGAAATGGGCATTTCACTGCGGAGAAACACCCACGCGTCGATGATGCAATAACCCGGCGAGGGCCCCCCCGAGGCCAGGTGCGGGGAGTGTAACATACGTTCTCTCAGTCACAGAAGACCTCATCCGACGGAACGCCGAGCACAACGACTGCGTGATCTTCTCCCTGGAGGAGCTCTCCCTGCATCAGCAGGAGATAGAAAGGCTGGAACACCTCGACAGGTGGTGCCGGGACTTGAAAATCCTCTACCTGCAGAACAACCTCATCGGGAAGATCGGTGAGCGTTCGGGCCTTTGCTCTCGCGGCTTCTGGGACCCCTTGGGTGGGAGAACCTGGGGAAGGCGGCGGTGTTCTCGGAGGAAGGGAGCGGCTAAGAGGGAATTGCCCCGGGGAAGAGAAGCAGCCATCTGTTGGGGGCTGGTTGTGGAACATTCCCGAACCTTCCCCTGGGTGGTCAGTCTCCCTGACCCGGAGATCTCCAGCGAGGAGGTGGGGGGCATTCAAGGTGGGGGCGCATTGGTTGACCTGCGGGTATATAGCTGGGTTTTTGAGAAGCTTGCTGGGGGGGACACGATCCAGCGTCTGTTGCTGCTTGGCATCCCGCTAGGAGACGGGAAGGGTTTTGTGGGGGCCGAGGGAGTCCTTCTCAGGCTGCTGCAGCCCGGGGTGGCTAGTTCTGCCCTGCGTATCCTGGTTATTTATTCGAGAGGAAGGCACTGTGCTCCGAGTTGGGTGTTGGGGGGCTTTGATGATTATGTCTTTGTTTGCTGCTCCAGTTTGGGAAGGAATGCAAGGTAAACAGAGGAGTCAGGTGGGTGAAGACCCGGATATCAGCATTGTGACAGACACAACCCTTTAGCAAACGTGGTTGAGGCTGACAGCCCAGCGGGCTTCCACCCAGTCCCCTGCAGCAGAGGAGACAACCACAGGCTTCTCTTACCTGTGCCCCAGCCCTTGCTTGATGGCAGCATCCCAGAAGCCAGGAGGGAGGGCGGGCCAGGGCATGTGCGTTTCCTCCTCCCAGTTCACCCACAGGATAAATCGGTCCTCCCCCGCCCCACCCGGCCAACAGTGAGTTAACGCAGGCAGAGCGGGAGGCCTGTTGAGTGATTCTAACAGGGGTCTGGCCTGCCCCATGGAAACGGGAGCAGTGTCCCCCCGCACTCAGAGCACACCGGTGTCACTTAGGGGTTAGAGCAGGTGCAGGCCCCGGCGTCAGGTAGACCTGGGTTAGAGCAGGCGCCTCCGCCACTCAGAAACTGTGTGGAGTGAGGCCCGATGGGGAAGTTGTGGAGGCTCAGCCTTGGGGTCTGTAAAATGGGGATAGTGACACCTCGCAGGCAGAAGTGGTCCCTGGGCTACAGGAGCCCAGCCACGGCAGGTAGCGTTGTGCTGGCTCGGGAGGTGACACCTGCTGCCGTTGTTAATAGTGCTGTTGACCCTGGGGTGCCCCAGGCGAGGCCAGCGGCCAGCGAAGGTCACAGCAGAAGGGAGAACCTGGAGCAGAGTCGGAGACAAGGGCTGGGGTCAGAGTGGACGGGGCCGAGAGAGCGTCACCCTGTGGGTTGTGGTGCTGGAACCCGGATCACGGTTTCGCTTTCCACCGTGATGTGCAGGGGCCCTCAACAGGCCACGTGAACATGTCTGGAGACATTCTGCTGCCACCGTGTGTGCGTGTGTGTTGGGTGGGGTGGGGGCCGCTGACGTCAGGCGGTGGGTGGGGAGGCCAGGGGCCCTGCTGACCACCCGGGACGGCACCACACACACGGGGTCCCAGCCCTGAAACGCCGGCGTGGCTGGGGTGTGGCAACCCCGGGTGACGTGGTCGCCTCTGGTTCGGTGGGTCATTCCCAATGCTGGAAGGTTCCAGAAATCCCAGATTTTGCATCATTCAGGGGGTATAAGAGTTCTTTATATTTCTCCAGAAAATTATTTTCGGCACCTTTGACTATCAGAAACTCAGAACTGGCGTGTCGCCCCACTGAAAGGCTGTTACAGACAACCCCCACTCCGTGCCCAGGGCATGGGAGGGGCGTCCCCATCACACAGCTCTAAAAGGGTTCCCGGAATTTCAGTCTGCACAACTGGGCCCACCACAGTGACTAATTAGCAGCGTAGTATTTCGGTCCCTTCCAGAGCCCTGAGAGGGCCCACAGTCTTGCTCCCCAGTATTCTTCAATTACACACCCTTTTAAATTGCACCAATGGGGGTTGTTGGGGCTGCTGCACCCACAGGCATTCAGGCACTTATTTGGCGCATACAAATGTTCCTCTTGGGTTCGGACTAGCTCCTGTGCCCTGGAGGTGGGTGTCTGCAAAATCGGTTGTCTCTCCTGAAGCTCTGTTCCTCACTGGGAGAGACCGGTGGGCTTGTGGTGGCGGGGGGGGGGCTTCATGTTGGTCTGGGAGTGAGCCGAGCACCCAGGACCCCCCCAGGCACACACGGAGCCCCCACCCCAGACCTCCGGACTCAGAGTCTGGGGTCTCCATTTGTGATGACCTTCCAGCGAGCCTGGGGTGGGTACAGAGCTGAGAGCCCCAGAGCCGCTGGAGTCGGGGAGGGAAAGGTCTGGGTGCGGCAGCTGGTGACAACTGCTTCCGGGGCGGGCTGGGCTCCGACGCCCTCCCTGCTCCCAGGAGGCTCCGCGCGCTGTCACTTAGGAAGCGTGTTCTGTCCTGGCCCTTCGGTCCATTGCTCTCCAGTTAATTTAGGACATGCTTCTGGAACAAATCTTAGCTTTATTTTTCTACAAGGTGACAACGTGTCACCAACGTGGGGAAAGAAGAGGTTTTCTATTGTGGGCCGGCAATTTTAACAGCGTTAAAACTTCAGGCGTCTTTGTTCAGGATGCAGACTAGACACTCCCGTCCGTCAACGCCCTGGGCACGCAGGGCTCCCCGGGTCTGCTGCCTGCTGAATTCTCGGACGTTGCCTGGAGAACCTTCGCCGAACGTCAGGATTACTTAGGATAACCCAACCGCCGAGAGACACTTTAGAATTTTTTTTTTTCTAAAATTCTCATTGTGAAAAAACTGAGTCGACTGAGACTTAAAGAGGAAAAGTGTTCTCCTTGGGTCTGTGGCAACATATATGATATTTTGTAAATGTTAAATGAAGTGGGATGACAGGGGTGATGACTATGAATAATCCTACTTGGTCTTTAGACTGTCCTTGAACAGTGGGCAGGGGAGTCCCCCTGTAAGTGGGGCTGCCCGGGCACGCATGTCCCAGCAGGGTGTGTTCACACTCACGTCGTCGTGAAAGGGCCGCTCTTCCAAGGTGTAGCGTAGGGACTTCCTGCCAAGCTCCCAAGCAGTCACACGTCCTGGCGCTGCCGCCTCACCTGCCACAAACGGGTTACTTCTTCACACCTGAGCATTCTCATGTGTAAGAGGGAGACAGTAATAGAGTTTCCACCTTACAGGGTTACTATGAGGATTGATGACATAATATATGCAAAATGCTTAGAAAACTACGCGGCACACAATAAGCACTCAGCCGTGTTAGCTATGGTGTTAGCTGTTTTTATTTATTTTTTATAATATTTTATTTATATTTAGAGAGGGGGGAAGGGAAGGAGAAGGAGAGGGAGAGAAACATCAGTGTGTGGTTGCCTCTTGTGCGCCCCCTACTGGGGACCTGGCCCGCAACCCAGGCATGTGCCCTGACTGGGAATCAAACCAGCGACCCTTTGGTTCACAGGCGGGCACTCAATCCACTGAGCCATACCAGTCATGGCACTGACTAGTTTAAACATAGCTGTTTTTAAAAGGCCCCATCCTACACTGGTTTCTTGACTGACTTGTGGTGGTGGTTTTGCCTATAGGGGTTTTCATATTTATTAAAAACCGTAATCCTGTATCAGCGTGACTTGGCTTTAAGGAAAGGAAAACTCAGTTCAACGTGGCTTTCCAGTAAGGAAATCTGGTATCATACCCAACGATGAGTCTGGAGATGGGGCAGGCCTCATCTCTGGGTTGGTTGATTCCTTCTCTCTGCTCTGGCAGCCACAGCGGGCTCCGTCCTGGAGCTGGTCCCTCCTGGTGGCAAGATGACAGGAGTACCAGCAGGGATAAGGCTTCCTTCTCCTTTTATCAGCCAACAGAGAAAGAGAAAGGCAGTCCCCGAGCACGGAACAGACCTTCCCGCTTCCCCTGGTTGGGAGCCCTGGGCGTGCCTGCCCTCTCACGCATCACGTGTTGCTGGGAGACTGCCACGGGCGTGGTGACTCAAGCCTGAGCCCCTGAGCTGTCACGGGCGAGGGACGTGGGGTTGCCACGCACTGGCCCAGCGTGGTCGAGTGTAACCCCTGGAGGTGGGGCCGGACAGAAACATGAGCAGAACGGGCTCCCATCAGAAACGATGGGGGCGGCACGGATGTGGCATAGCCAACCTACAGTGTCCGGGGTGCGGGCCGGGCGTAGCTTTGAAAACCCAACGTGGTTTCCATAACCGTAATCATTCTTGGATTCTTTTTATCACCCTCACGGCAGATTATGTAAACACGTCTTTTATCTCGAAGGTTAATTACATTATTTGTATGTTTCAGAAAATGTTAGCAGACTGAAGAAACTTGAATATTTGAATTTAGCTTTAAACAACATTGAAAAAATCGAAAATCTGGAAGGTAAGTGTTTTATCTTATTTTGCTAATTAGAACTGAGATTCAAAATTTCATGTCAACAGGATGACTCAAACAATATATTCTTCCGTTGTGTGGGTTTTCCGATCAACTTTCTCCATGGTGTCCTTTGGAGCACAATTATTCCCTTGGAATTGTGGCTTCATTGCGGTGTAATGGACACACAAGGACCGGCACCTGCTTCATGCACAGACTGGGGAGCTCGGACACAGGCACACACTCGGGAAACTGTCACCGTGGCCCAAGGCTGTAGACACACCCGTCACCTCTGTTTTCTCAGATCTCCCCTCGGACCAGTTTTATAAACATGCTTGGGGTGCACCAGATCGATCCTCCATGCCTTTTAACCTGCATTCCTCCCATAAGCCTCCTTGTCTTGTTCTACATCCCGGAAGGTTTCCTGTTTTACTCCATAGGCTTCTAGTTCGTGCTGTTAGTTTTGTCTAAGTGTCTGGGAACACTTGGTGTCTGTTTGTAGTCACACAGGGTTTGGTGGGTCCGGTGGCTGGTGTGGGCTGTGCCGTGGTTGGGAGGTTGGGTGTCCGTGCCCAGCCCCTCACCTGTGGGCTGGGCCGCGCAGGCTCTGTGCGAGCGGGCAGGCACGGGGCTGGCCGAGTGCAGGGACTGGGGCCGTGCCTGCCTGCCCACTGCACCCCCCTCTGCCAAGACCTGAGATTGGGAGGATTTTCCTTGGGTCATGGTGGATTGTAGCCTGTTCACCTCCTAGTGTAGAAACCGATATTTCGGTGACTATCAAAGTTATGCATCAACACAGACATGAATATTCATCATGCATCTTGAATTTCCATCCTCAAAACCTAGCATATCATCACCACCGGAGCCCCCAAGCCCACTACGGCGCTGGAGTTGAGAAGGTTCTTCTGTGTTCGCAGGGGAGATCTTGCTCTGTCCGTCCCAGCTACTGCCCTACAGCCCTATTACCCTGCTCTCACGTGAACAAGCGGCATGACAAAGTTTGCTCAGTGTCCATGTTCTGTGGCAGTAAAATATCAATCTGAGATGTCGGAGGAACCATGAAAACTCTCACTCTCAGTTGGTGTGTCCGTGGCTTGCTGTTTTTAAGAAAGTATCTGAAAGGACAGGGAGCATCCTATTTTTGCTGTGTGTTTTGGTCATCTGCCACTAGAGGGCAGCATTGCCACTATTGTCTTCTTGAGAGATGGGAACCCAAGTCCATCAAGGCCTGTTGCCTTGATGCTTCTCCCTTGCAGAGCGCCACCGCCAGCTCTAATGCCAATGCTCTGGCTGCAGGGTGCTTTGAGGATGTGGACGGCGGGTGGGGGTCTCATCTGCTGGCAAATACTCACTTTCTGTTTAATGTTGAAGGTGAGAGAGGAGGAAAATGGATACACACACCCAGCCCACCTACTTGAGTAAATCTCAGTATAATTTTAAGCATAAGTTACACATTTTTTTTGCGTAGCTGGATGGCAAAGAAATAGCTGGTACTCTTTTATTCTCCCTGTTGTGGAGTCACTGGGACAGAATAAAATACCTTCTTTTTCCATCCTTCCTCCTCATCCACCCTAACCCAGGAGAGGTGGGGCCCCTGCTAATGTGAGCTCCCCGCTTGGGGAGTCAGTGCTGTCGATTTCAATGACCTTCAGACCCCCCCCAACCCCCCCCCCCAACACACACACAGTCACTGAGCTGGACCGTCATAGTACAGGAGAGAGAGGGTGAGACCGAGTTGGAAGAAGGGGTGCCTCACCCCAAAGAGGAGGCTTTCTCCAGCTTGGCTTGTTCAGCGAAAATTGTTCCTTAGGGTGGCAAATGTGGTTTAATTTCTCATGTGCAGGCTGAGTAGAAGAAAAATTAAGAATGCATCACCCTGAAAAATACGATGAACATTTGGAGGGTCCTTCATCTACCAGCATTCCAGCAAAATCCAAAAATACACGAATCTTCGAACTCGTTGGAGTCGTTCAAATGTCAGGCTGTTCTTACATGAAAGAGAAACATGCTTGAGACGGCTCCCAGAATCTGTCAGAGGGAACTAGGAAACACCCGGTCACCTGCAGCCCAAGTTGGAGTGCCCCAAATAGATCTTTCCCTTTTCATAAAACTTCTTTCTCCAGTGTAAAACAAACATACATAGAGACATAAACTTAATTATATTTATGTAATACACATGTAGTTTCTTTCTTAATGTAGCGGCTGGGTCCACGTTTGTATACTTGCATGACCGAATTACCAGATATATTGGTGTGTTTTAAATAATCTGTATTGCTTAGTGTTTGAAGCGTTTTTCATTATGTTTGTTATTGTGAACAAAACTCTTTGGAACAGCTCGGTACAATTTGCCTGTTTTCAGTGGATGTATCCAAATGAAATCCCGGATCCGGGGAAGAACACTTAAAAGCCCATGTTATGTGTTGTCAGATGGAATGCTGGAAAATATACTTGTCCTACAGGCTGAGCAGTATTTAAAAAAAAAGTGTCCCTATTGTTGCAAATTTAATAGAAATAACAGTTTTGTTGTCCTTTTTCGTAGATACGGTTGTTTTTGAAGATGTGAAGTTGTGAATGTCGTGCCCCTCTAGCATCTAGAATATATACAGGAGTGTTTATTTGCTCTTGTACATTTTGGGTGTTCCTCTTCTCCATGGTTCAGGATTACTGTAGTAGCGCAATGCGCAGTTTGAAAAGTCCGAGTGCGCTCTATGCTTTGGTTAGGAAAGGCAGTCCTTTGTTTTGCCCTCTGACCCCGAAGTCCTGCCCCTAGAGGTGGCCGCTCCCAGCTCCCCTGCCCCTGCTGCGGCTCAAGCTCCCACCCTGTGCGCTCAGACTGGGCTCTGTCCACGCTTCCACGGCCCCGCTCCGGGTACCATGTGCCATGCTCCTGGTGTGGGAGATGCAGACTGTGTGTGTTCCCTCACACGGCATCCAGGGTTCTCGGTCCCCCTCCGCCCACCTGCGGGACACCCTAGTGAGACATGGGGCGTGGCCCCACGTATGGTGCCTGGCGTTCTGCGTTCACACTTTGCTGGGGGAGAGACGCTCCCGTCTTTGCCCTCCCGAGCCCACACAGCGAGGATGGGACGGGGACAGGGTCTGGTTTGCAGTGCGAGCAGTTAGCGAGCTTAAAATATGGAGACTCTCACTTCTGTGCCGTTGCACACATCATTAATCATTACCAGTGTGATTCCCCCCCCGTTTTCATTTCTCTCGGCAGGCTGCGAGGGGCTGGCCAAACTTGACCTGACCGTGAACTTCATTGGCGAGCTGAGCAGCGTGAAGAGCCTGCAGCACAACGTCCACCTGAGGGAGCTCTTCCTCATGGGGAACCCGTGCGCCGACTTCGAGGGCTACCGGCAGTTCGTGGTGGCGGCTCTGCAGCAGCTGAAGGTGCGCTCCCTCCAGACGCGCAGGAACCCTGGGGAAGGCGCAGGCTGGCCACTGCGGTCGGTCGGTCCGAGTTATTCACTCACAGCGTCGTCAGGGAGGGTGCTGCTCCAGAGAGGGAAATATTCCCGGGGGGAAAAAAAACCCACAATTCTTTGACCGAGCCTTTAAAATGGTTTTCATTGCTTTCGTAAACCTCTGGAAAAGTAAAGTGCGTACTTTTCTCCCTCATCCAGAATACACGGAGCTTAATTTAACTTGTTTGGATAAATTCAAATAGTTGTTACAAAGAGCATTCGTCACCACCAATAAATAGCTTGGGGTTTTTGAGGTGGCTGCAGTTACGAATACGTTTGGCTTCCCTCGTCTTTCGCTCCTCTGTTCTGATACGTTTTCTAGTTATTGTTTTGTTATTGCTTTCTGCTAACTTGTTCTCCGTGTCAGCTGTTCCCAAACTTGGGCAGGTATAGGAACAGTTGGATGGCGTTTGCCAAGCCCCGCCCCCAGAGCGTCCTACGCGCAGTGGGTCCGATACGACACCCAAGACTCGCATTTCTTTTTTTAACTATTTTTTTGTCGCTCAATTACAGTTGTCTGCATCCCCCCTCCCCCCAGCACCCCACCCCCACCCCAGCCAAACCCGCCTCGCATTTCCAACGGCTCCCAGGCGATGCTGGCCGGTCCCGATGCTGGCCGTCCCGCAGCCTCATCCGAGAACCAGCACTCCCTGAGTTCATCTCCCGCGCTGTCTCTCCCCTTGTCTGATATTTTTAGAATGGGAGGGAAAAGCATACGATTTTCAGAGAAGTCACACACCTGAGCACGTTAAAGAAGTAACGCTGATTTCCACGCAATTCCAGGAGTCCCCAGCCCGTGTGGGGCCCCCCGCGCCCCAGCACAGACAGGAGGCCCAGGGGTGTGGCTCTCCGATGGGCGTTCTCTTCGGTTCTCCGAGGGCACGTGTGTTTAGACTGCCGTGTTCCGCGCAGCTGAGGTTTCTGGGTTAATGGGACACATTGCGTCTCACGTAGAATTTCTTTGAGAGAACGAGTGACTCAGGTAATGGAACCCAGAATGTAGGTTCAGAGTGAATGAGAAACCGGCTCAAACAGAATCCGGGTCGACCCTCTTTGTACAAGGACTTCCTAGAAGAGGAACGGGGGTGGCAGGGCGGGGGGACCAGAGCATCATTGCAGGAGGCATGGGCCTGTAGCCTGGTGCCGTGAGCCTTTCCCTGGGAAGGTGCCGGCTGCCCCAGCCGGCCGGCCCTGCCCAACCCTCCTCGGAGCTGCCGCGGTCCCGCTAGGATTCTGTGAGCGCCACAGGCAGGCGCCTGGACCCCAGGCCAGGATGCTCCGTGTGCTTTGGGCGCAGCCTCCCTGGCCCTCCTGGACCCCAGCAGGCGATGAGCAGTGCACTTGGAGATGGGGAAGGCAGGGCTGGGAGAGCTGGTGGCCCTCATTCAAGCTGACGCACTGGCAGGTGGCCCAGGCGGGATTCGAACCTCGAAGGCCCGGTCCCCACTGCAGCCGTTCTCACCGCCCTCCGGCTTGATGCACAGACTTAGGAGCAAGTCATCCTTCCTTCTCGAGGAGCCTGCCCTGACCCCGCCGTCACGCTGGGCAGCAGCCTCCCCGTAATAAGCAGCACTCATAAATGTGCTCACGGGTGTTTGAAAGCAGGCTGATAAGCTTTAGAACCTTAATCACCACTCACTTCACGGAAAGCTGTGATCTGCTTGAAAGGAATTATGCTGACAGAGGTATTGCTTTCCCGGGGCCGCCAGAACCAAGTGCCCCAGACTGGGTGGCTCAAATGCCAGGCATCTACTGTCTCCTAGCTCTGGAGGCTAGGAGTTCAAGATCAAGGTGTCAGCAGGGCTGGTCCCCTTCGAGGACTGTGGAGGAGAATCTGCCCCCTGCCCCTCTCCTAGCTGCTGGTGGCGGGCAGTCTTGGGCATTCCTTAGCCCGTAGAAGCATCCCTTCCGGCTCTGCCCCCCCGATCTTCACGTGGTACTCCCCCCAGGCCTCTGTCTCTGCACGTGGCATTCTTGTCATAGGGACACTGGTTGCATGGGGTCAGCGGCCCTCCCTCCTCCAGGATGGTCACCTTCACTAACGTGTCTGCAGTGACTATTTCCAGATAAGGTCCCAGTCCGAGGTATTGGGGGTAGGGCTCCAACTGTTTTGGGGGGAGACACAACTTAAGTCCTAACAACGAGGTAGTTACTTAGACAGACACCAGGAAGAGGTGTGAGGAGATTCAGCCCCTCCCAAGGACCCTCTTCGAGTGGCCACGCCAGTCCGGGTAGCCAGTGGACACGGTAACACGGAGGGTGAACTTGGGCGGCAGGCAGAGCAGGCAGGGTCTGACTCTCGTCCCCACCAGCTGTGAGCGGCATGCCTCGTTTCCCTACTCTGTAGTGGGACCATAACTCTTCCTTTGGGACAATAACTCTTCCTCTGAAAGAGTCCTGTGAGGCTTTCAGTAAATCTTAGTTTCTTTTTCTCCTTGCCACAGCTTTTGTTCAATGCTTATCCATAAGCATGGACACTCTACCTCTGTGTTTCAAGAACCCTCAATAAAGACCAAGACATGCGTATTATGATGCGCCACTTAAAACTTCATCTCTCAGTTCGTGAGGCTGTCTACACTCACGTGTGATTTTGGCTTGAGGGAAACTCAGCCAGTTTCAAAGACCACCGAATGGAAGCTGTTAAACATTTAGGTTGAGATCCAGTGGGAAGACCCCTGGGACGGGGGCTGGCAGTTGTGCGGCACAGCCCCAGATTTGTTACCGGTTTCCAGTACAAGCTTTTCTGGTTCCCGTCTGTGTGGTGGCGGGGATTCATTTATCATGACCTTTTAGAAATAGGGGGTCTACATTAAATCAGGATTTACTTAACCTGAAGCAGGGGGAAAGATACACACACACAATTATACACACGCACACATTTTTTTTTAAAGTACGTCCTTAAATCCTTGGGTCCCAGACACAAGTGAGAAAATAGTACTTTGCTTCCCAATATTTGTCAAAATTCCAATGGAAGAAATTATATATATTCAGAATTTTTCAAAAACATTTAGATCTTGCCCTGGCTGGCGTAGCTCAGTGGATTGAACGCAGGCTGCAAACCAAAGTGTCGCAGGTTCGATTCCCAGTCAGGGAACATGCCTGGGTTGCAGGCCATGGCCCCCAGCAACCGCACATGGATGTTTCTCTCTCTTTCTCCCTCCCTTCCCTCTCTAAAAATAAATAAATAAAATCTTAAAAAAAATTTAGATCTTAACTCTAAATTGAGTTAAGTTAATTTAAAAAAGGGGGGCTAAGTACTTGGACCACAGTTACTTATCCCCTGAAGGAGTAGGCAGTCGTAAGTCGGATCTTTCCCTGGAGGGTGCGGGAGGAACGGCTTCACGAAGCCCGCCGCTCTGCGGACAATGCACGGCGTCTCTCCAGGTCTCCACGATGAAGCTCGACGTCAGGAATGTGTGTCGGAAGTCAATATTAAGGGAAAGCTGGAAGCTAGAACGTAACACAAGGCACGTAACTGATCACGCTTCCCTATTTTGCTTTGGCCACTGGGACGCTCAGAGCCAAATGTGCACCCCACTTACACCAGCCCCATGAGTCCTGTGACCAAAGGCGTAGTTGAAATTATTTTCTCCAAGTCTCCATATGGTAGTTCTGATGTACAATTTTTTAAATTGATGATTTTTCACCCTGTGTGTGCTTTTTTCCTTTTGTATTTGTTTCCTGTTGCTGGGGTAAAGAGTTACCACAAGCGGGGTGGCTTCAGACAACGCAGACCGATCCTCTGGCAGTGGTAGATGTCGGAAGTCTGCAACGGCGGTGTCGGCAGGGCTGCGTTCCTCTGCAGGCTGTGGTGGGAGGGGGGTCTGTTTCCCTGCGAGTTTCAGCTTCTGCGCAGCGCCTGCAGCGTTGAGATAGTGGGCCCTTCCTTGTTCTTCAACGCCAGCAGCGAGGCGCCTCCAGACCTCCCCCTAACTCTGACCCTGACTCTTCTGCCTTCTTCTTTCTCTTAAAGGACCCTTGGGATTACACCGGGCCCACTCGACAATGTGCACAATCTCCCCGTCTCAAAACCCTTGATTTAATCACATCTGCAAAGTCCCTTTTGCCATCAGAAAAAGTTAGAACTTGTCCATTCTTGGGAGGAGGGGGCGTTTTTCGACCCACCACACCTTTCTAAACACCTGCCCTCTTTCTGTAGAACGAAGCCGGGTAAATGAATAGGTGTCTTTAAATGGGTAGTTTTGAAGCCGTAGGTTCTGGGTTGGTGTTTCCTTTGACTATTTCAACTTGGAAAATCACTGTAAAGATACCAGTGTCAACAGGGACCACAACGATTAATGGCACACTCACTCGGTGTCTCTCGGAGGAGGTAGGACATGAGGCCATATGTATCAGAGCTCAATTTTGTGTGATGTACATACAATACAAGGCCCTCTCTTGCAGAGAGCATTTGGGGAGGGTCATTATTGCACTTTGGAGCTGTGGTTTGACTTGGGGCATCAAAATCCTTGATACAGTGAGTAGTTACAGAATGAATGTACTTGCGTTTGGAGAGCTTGTCACTAATCACCGGTTTCCACAGAAGACCTGCTTCTCGGAGACCGTCTATAATCCGTGACGACGGCGTGAACCAAACATTGACTTGGCCCAAAGTGTCCGCTGTTTCCCACATCACCGTGGTGCATTATTTATTACTTCTAAGTTTAAATATTCCCGTCAGTGTCCCCTGGGGGCCAATCCAAATCGCAGCTCTTGAATAATTGCTCTGTATTGGTGGTTCTTTATTCCAGTGGTTGGACGGCAAAGAAATAGAACGTTCTGAGAGGATTCAGGCGTTACAGAACTTCCCAGAAATCGAACGGCACATCAGAGAGCAGGAGAAAGCTTACTGCCTCAGACGGGCCAAAGACAAGGAAGAGGCTCAGAGGAGGCTTCGAGAAGAGCAGGAGAGCGAGGAGGAGGAGGGTCGCCCAGGCTTTGATGGGTGCTGGCATGCAGCAGACATCGGTGCTACTCTGTATGTAAATCAGGAGTTTGCTTTCACGCTAACTTTTGTTAACAGCAACCAACCACGTTCTTCTTCCCGAGGTGTTCACAGCGCCGCTTGCATTCCAGACGCTGAAAGTGAAGAACGTATCATTATGTGAACTTGGGGGGGGGGGGGCTGTGAGCATCCCGTTGTTTGTGACGATCCCGTGAGGCTGTCTTCCCTGCGAAAATAGAGCCTTTCCAAACGAACAATTTAGATTTGCGTCTGAACTTATCCTCAGACGGAATCTGTCTGAAAGACGCACAGTACAGATAAATTAACAGGTGTATTAGACTTTGATTTGTAGAGTAGGGATATTTTAGATAAATCAAATGCAAACCACATTATTATAAATTGCTTACTTTTGATTGCATCATAAAATATTCTATTTTGTGAATTACATAATGAATACATTTTAATGTGATTAATAAGCCTTTAATTAGTCTTTTTTACAAACATGAATTATTTGTTCTTGTTCAAGTGAATTGCAACTATAGTCAGTTGATTTGATTCTATATTGTAAAAGCTCTAAACATTTTGATAACAGAATCTCTTAAACTTGAGAAAATAATGATTATAAAATTTTCAGACATACATAAATGTTAAAAAAATTAGGCAGCTATAATTCCACCATCCAGACTTAATAAATGTCAATCGTTTGCATGTTTGCTTTGATCTCTCTCTCTCTTTAAAAGATTTTACTTATTTATTTATTTTTAGTGAGAGGGAGAGAAACATCAATGTGTGGTTGCCTCTCGCACGCCCCCCTACTGGAGACCTGGCCCACAACCTGGCCATGTGCCCCGACTGGCAACCGAACCAGCGACCCTTTGGTTCGCAAGCTCGCACTCATTCCACTGAGCCACACCAGCCAGGGCTGATCTCTTTTGAAATAAGACCTAAAATATCACTGACAGAGCAGAAGCCCCCCAAGGGTTCCTCCCACACCCCGTCCCTCTTGTGGCCCGCAGTGGCGTCTGCCCCTGCAGTTAGTAGTGCACATTCAAGTGTGCCGCTCCCACCCCTATTTTCATATGTTTACTAGGTAATTATGCCTCCTTACACAAGTGTGGTTTGGTGGGTGTGTTTTTTAGCATGAGTGACTATCTTTCTACGGATCTGATTTTCATTCCACGTTGTGTTTTTGGGATTTATGCGTATGAAGACTCGTGGAACTCATTCCTTCCTTCCGACTGGGGAATGACACTCTGCTGGGTGAATAAAGCACAGTGCATCGCACGGGTGACAGGGAGAACACCCAACGGCTGGTGATTCACTGGCCCTGACCCTCAGAGGGTGCGCCGGCTTGGACACCATGCGCGGCCCGCCCCGCCCCGTGGCTGAAGACCAGCCCCCGGCCAGCTGTCCTTCTCTGGGTGGCTGTCGCGTGGCCCTCCCCCTTGCATTTTTCCAGACGATGCTGCACATGCCTCCCTGTGCAGGTGTGAAGGCTTCTCCGGGGTATTCAGCACTGGTGTTGCCACATCACCAATTATGAGCATCTTTTCAAGTCTATATGCATTAATTACCCATTGTTTTTGAAAGCATATTAATTTATACACATATCATCTTTGCCAATACTAGATAATGCGATATTTAAAAACATCAGCCAATCAAGGTGGTTATTGCAGCACTGTATACTTAATTTGAATTTGTAGAATTACAAGTGAGTTGAGTATCTAAATATCTTCTTATATGTTTATTGGCTATTTAGATTCCTTCCATTTTGGTTCTACTCAGGTTCTCTGCCTATTTTAAATGAGTTGTACATTTTTTTTTCTTATTGACTTAGAGTTCTTCTGCATTCTGAATGTAGTTTCTTTAGTGGTTATGTGCTTTATAAATATCTTTTCCCAAATGTGACTTCGTAATTTTAATAAGTGATTCTGCTTAATAGGATTCAAAAATATCTGTGTAGCTAAACTTACTTTTGTATTTTGTGGCCTTGTTCATGAAATTCTTCGCTGCCTCAGCACTAGTCTCTCTGGAATCAGCTTCTGACTGCATGCAGTGTAGGGTAGGGCACTGGTCATTTCCCGGGCGGGCAGCTGCCTGTCTGCACCACTTACTCAGGTGTGGGTCTGTGCCCACTGACCGGTAACACCGCCCTGACCACGCACCCCCTGCTCATGGACTCGTGGGTCCACTCTGGCCCCCCAGACTATCCCAAGGGAGCGCCTCCCCAGGGTCTGAACTCCTGTCCCTTCATGCTGAATCTTGGTATTTGGTAGGAGATAGCCTCAGTTTTCAAAATTATTTTGGCTCTTCTTAAATTTTTTTTCTTCTTCAGAATTTTAGAATCTGCTATTTAAATTCCCCTAAATCCCCAGTGTAATTTTGATTGGAATTGCATTTAATTTATACATTCATTAGGGGAAAGTTGACATCTTTGAGACATTGGTTCTTTTCACGGTGAACTTTTTAGATTGGCCGTCTGTTTATTTAGATCTTTTGAGCCCTGCAGTAAAGTTGTTAATTTTCCCTATCAAGGTCTCACACCACATTTCATTAGATTTATTTCTAAGTGTCTTATAGACTGGGATTTTAAAAATAAACTTATAACTGGTCCTTGCTGATGTATAAACAGACAGATGATTTTTGTATAATGATACTGTGTTAAACTATCCTGATGAACTTTTTTAAAGGATGCAATAGTTTGTCAGAGATTATCCTATCTTTTCTAGGTAGAAAAACATGTTTTTTATAAATAGCAACTTAATTTTTCCCCCAAGCTTTCTACCTCTGCTCTATGTATTTTTAAGATTTTAATTTATTTCGAGAGAGAAGGGAAGGAAGGGAGAAAGAGAGGGAAAGAAACATCAACGTGTGGTTGCCTCTCCCACACCCCCGACCAGGGACTGGGCCCACAACACAGGCATGTGCCTTGACTGGGAATCGAACTGGTGACCTTTCGGTTCTCAGGCCAGTGCTCAGTCCCCTGAGCCACACCAGCCAGCGCTGCTCTTTGTTTTCTTCATGATGTTGGCTAGGCCTCCAGAGTGGGGCGGAATATCAGCAGTAAGACTGGTGTTGGTAGCTCTTCCTGATTTAAGAAGAACGCTCCCAAAGTTTATCATTAAATATGTTTGCTGGGAGATTTTGGTAGTGTTAAATAAGTTTTCTTTCACTCCAAGTTGATGAAGAGCCTCCATCATCGCAGAGCCTGGGTTTTTACTGGGTGCGTTCCCTGCCTCTACTGAGATAACCGTGTTTTTCTGTTAACGAGTTGAACCACATTCATAGCTTTTCCAATAGTAAACCATTCTTGAATTTCTAAAATAAACTCACTCTGTCCACGATATATTTTCAATGCATTGCTGCATCCATTTTGCTAGTGTTTTAAATACTATTTAACCTATGTTCACAAATAGGTTTATGCTGTAACCTCCCGTTTTCATTGTGTTTGCCCTGGTGTTTTGCATCAGAGTTACAGTAGGCACGTACATTGTGTTGGGACCACTTTCTAGTCTTGGTTTACAAAAGTTTACAGAGGCTTTAGGTGATTTGCTCTGCACATTTTAGTAGAAGCATCCAGGTGGGTTTCTTACAGGTGCCTACCTGTTCCCCCACGGGACTGGCTGTCCCTCGGGCATCAGCCCTTTCAGAACCTCGTCATTCTGGAGGAGACTCACTGGGTCACCGACGTAGTCAGGGTGGGGGAGGAGGGGGCTGCTCTCCTGTCGAGAAGAAACGCCAAGGAGATGTGGGGCGGCTGGAGGGGAGACGAGCATTTCCATGTCTTGACTAGACAGGGCCTGCGGCAGCCTGGAGAACTGGAAGGTGGGATGTGGCCTGGCAGAGCCCGGAGCAGCGGGCTCAGGAGGGAGGGTGCAGGGAAGCATCTGCACTCAGGCGCTTACTTGGCAGGAGCTGCACCTGAGCTGCCTTGAAGGGACGCTGGCTGTCAGGGAGAGTGGCGGCCGTGAGAGCCTGGGGCGGCCTGTCAGTGGCAGGAGCTCCACAATGATCACAAGGACCTGCCAGGTCATACAGTGATCACTCTGGCAGGAACGATGAACTTGGAAGGCTCTTGCACTGTCCTCAGGAACCCACAAACGGGCTCACGGGAGAAAGCCAGTAAGTGGGTATCAGCCCGGAGAGGGACCAACGGCTCAGGAGTGGCAGCATCGTTCTCACAAGAAGTGTTCGCCTTCTCCTCCCCATCCCTCCTCCCAGGCCCACATTTCTGAAGTCAGGAAGAGGCTGGAGAGGCCCAGCAAGATGGGGTGCCTGTCCCTCTCCCCACACCCAGGCCAGGCTTGAGCTGGGCGCGGGGAGAAGGGTTTGGAGACGGAGGGAAAGGCTTCGACTGGCATGGAAGTCTGGAGTTTCGTTGCAACTGTAGACCTTTTAGTAGCTAAAAGTGAGTGTCGGCTGAGACGAGGCTGTGCTTGAAAGTGAGCGTGGGCGATGCTCACGCGTGGGAAGGGGGGTCCGAGAGAGCAGATTGGAGGGAAATGGCTGAAGAGCAGTTTTTTGTTCATTTCCTGGTGAACTGAGTCTATTTCACCTACTAGCTACATGCATTTATATGTGTTTGGCCTTTGGAGATTTATATTATTTAGCTGAGGTTTCCAAAAATTTTTAAAGTACAATTATTTTTATGTTTTTAAAAATTTTTTTTATCTTGAGAAAGGTAAAAATCAACCAGTTAGTCACTTTCTAGCAAAAACAAATTATTTTAAGTGAGAATGGAACCAATTACTTCAGTGACAATTAGCTAGAATATTCTAGAATATTAGTTCTCCTGAATAGATTGTTTTTTTCATACCGTCAAGAATTATAGCTATATGGCAAAACATTTCTTTTCAGTGATTTGCGTTATGTAGCATATTAAACTCTCCAGCAGGACTTTATAATAAGCAAAGAATCCGAGCAGAATTTCACTCTGTGTTCTGGTTGCACTATTTAAACTTCGTGTCCTGGTGTTTGTGGTGCATCCCTTCAAAAAGTACTTCAATGGAAGGTCAGCAGAGTGAGCCCTTCGTGCCCTTCATTTCAGCCCCGAAACCACCATGTTGGACGCGTGAGCACGAGTGTGAGCGCTTCCCATTTGCCCTGCTTGGCGCTGCAGGGTCCCTGCGGGCGTCTTCCGTGGGTGGCACTGAGCTAGAGCGGACATTCCAGCGGCAGGCGAGGGGGGAGCAGCTGTTCCCATGTCCTGCGGGGCCACGCTCACTTTCTCTCCGCCAGGACACACTCTCCCAAGGCGGGGTCCTTGTCCGTCTGGACTGGGCTTGTGTCTCTGGTGCCTGGCACACAGAAGACGCTCAGTAAAAATGTCTTGAGTCCGTATAGAACAGACATTCAGTATCTCATAAAATACCCATCTGATGCCGTCCGTGTAGAGGTATCCTTTAATTTGCTGACAGTCCACAAAACGCGAATAAAACAGAAAACACAGTACTCTTACCCTGTAAAGCTACACACTCAAGGTATCCATGAGAAATAGAGGTCATGCCATGGAGGACTTCATATGTCCCACTGGGGAATTTTGGAGCCAGAGAACCTGGAAATCATATGACCCAGTTTTCCTGTTAGAAAGATGCTCCGGGAGGGTAGGATTGAGGGGTGCAGTCTGGAGAGGGGGTGATTGCCACGGCTGAGCAGCCCCTTAGTTTGTCTGCTCATCAGAGCCTCCTGCAAAATATTATAAAACACAGATTGCTGGGCCTCACCCCAAATCTACTGAACTAGACTCTCTTGTGGGAACCCCGGGGATCTGCACGTTTTGTAAAGCTCCCCAATGATTCCCGTCGGCCTGGGCGTGAGCCCTCGCACAGGATTTCTGCACCACCCCTCCTGGTGCCAGATGAGGAGGGTCCCCCGTGCTGGGCAGTAGTCCCCCCAGCCCGGCCCGGGTGAGCCCTGGCTGCAGGCACGTCTGGTCGGGGTAGGGAGATTACACAAGGACAATGGGCATGATGTTTAGGGGGCAGCCCTCGGGATGAAGCTCGCACGGCCACCTCATGCACTGGGTGTCTTCTGGTTCCTTCCTAGCCCGACCTCTGCAGCGAGCCAAGACCACCTCCAGGCTCCAGAAACGCCAGGCGGAGAGCCACACAAAAAGAAGTCAGGCGGCGGTGAAGACGACCTGGAGTTCTGGAACAGACCCTCTCTGTTTACTCCCGAGTCCAGACTGGAAACCCTCAGGCATATGGAGAAACAACGGAGAGACCAAGAAAAATTAAGGTATTCCATTTTCTCCCCATCGTTGAGAGTGAGCTAACAGTCTTTTAGGGGCTGCGTTCTCATGGGGGCACGTCATTGGTGCTCATGACCTGTGTTCAGCCTTTGTTAGCCGTCCCACGTAAGCTTCGCTTTTTGTTTTTTTAAGTTCAATTTTTTTGTGGAACGGTGTGCACGAACACGTATGCATATCAAACGACCTCCTTTCAAATACCTTGAATTAATGGCATTTTAGGTAGGGTGTTGTTCATGTGCCTTTGGTTTTGTGACCATGTTAAACACGCGGAGCAAGAGCAGGGCTGGCCTAGAGACGCCAGCTATCACGGGACTAAGGACCAGGCCACTTTGTGGGATGGATGAGTTCCGTTTAATCTGCAAAATCAATAATTAGAAATTAGTTTCATTAGGTGCTATATTTTTTCCCAATACAACTCTCCTGGACATGGAGTGGTATGCTTTCACTTTCAAATTATCTAGATATAATCTGTTAGCAGCTAGAATGCTTGAGCTATTATTTGCAGAGCAGCTTTTTTAAAGATGGGCTCTGCATCATTCCCCTTCACGTCGCCGCCTAAGTCTGCCACGTAAAATGGATCACTTGCGGGAATGCTTAACCTTCATGAGCTCGGGAACGAGATCGATTAGCTCTGAAATACAGTAAGAAACCAGAAGGGTAGCAAAGCAGTTAGCCATCTCCGCTGCTTTCGTAACACTTTCTTCATTAATGAGATAGACAGGGACGTGCCAAAAGGAGAGTCGGGAAGAGCACCGAGTCACGTGGGAGGGTGTGGGTCCACGTGGCCACCCCGCTGCTTATTACACGGGGTGCGGCTTTGGCTCCGACTGGGCGGCTTCCCGTCTGTTTCCTCGCCCATCAAACAGGGACCCGCACCCCCCGCCTTACCTGCCCCCGGCGTTGTCCAGAGAGTCAGAGGGGCCAATGAGTGTAAAAGTGCTTTGCCGGCTCAAAGACCCTTTGAAATGGAAATTACACACGTTCTTTGAATAAGTGCTGCATTTCTGATGTGTATGCATATACATACATAATACAATATATATATAAATTACATTTGATTGAGCTGAGAGCTGGAGAGATTTTTCTTCCTCCGACAGCCTGAGAAAAGCAGGGCGGACGGGAGTGAGAGCCCGGCCGCCCTGTGCTGGGTGCAGCGGTCCGCCCACACCCCCGGGTGCCTGAGCCGGCTGTGCTCCGTGGGCGCACCTTCATCCTCCGGGCTCCCTGAGCACAGTGTGGTTCCTGGGAACATCACTGATTGGGCCTGGGGCCCCGTTGAAGAGGCAGACAACTTTGACTAGATTTATGTTTTCAAATGAAGTTAACTGACATAAAACCAGTACTGAAAGAACAATGGCGAAGACAGTCAGTGATATTGTAGGAGGTGTGTGTACGCTGCCAGCTGGGGCCTGGGAATGCCGGGGAAACACTTCGTACGGTGTGTGATTGTCTAACCGCTATGCCGTACCCTTGAATCTAATGCAAAATAATGTCGAATACAAACCATGGTTGAAAGAGAGAATTTTAAAAAGAAAAATAGAAATCCAAGGCAAAGAACTGCCTACAGTGCTGTTATCTAACCAAAGTTGTCCATCTGATCTTCTAGATGCACGCCTAGTTTAGTCTTCAGGTATTTTTAGTGATGTTTTTGGTACACAGAACTCACATCGCCCAGTTTTTCACGTTATCCGCGAATCCTCTCCTCTTTGCTGCCTTTCCTCGCCCCCTGTCCTTACCCCTTCAACACCGTGAGGGTCACGGCCTCGGCTCAGTCCCACCAGAACCTCCTCCGCCCTCTGCAATTGTATGAATTATGTCTGCGAACGTGGGGTTTGGAGTCTTAGTTTAAAAAATGAAAGTGGACTTCTGTCTGATACATTCGTTCTCACCAAATACATCATTCACACGTCCCTGGCGCTTTTTAGATCAGTAGGTGAAGAGGGAGCACGTTTCTGACCGCGACACAACACCCCCTCCTGGCAGGACGAGCCCGCCGCTGGCCAAGCCGCCCCTCCGCTGGCTGGCGGGCATGCGGGCCCCGCCCGGGCTTGGCCACTGCGGGCCGTGCTGTGCTCAGACCTCCCTTTACCCGGGCCCTCGTGGACGGGTGTTTTCATTTCTATGAAATGGATGCTACTTGGCGTTTTAAAAACTGCAATTTTAACTAAAGCGAGGAGCTGCATGCACAAATGGAGAATTGACAGTGATCTGGGTAAGTCATGCATAAAATAGACTTATTTAAATATTAATGGATATTTCATGAAAAGAGCTCCCCCCCACGCCCTCCCACCCATTAAATCGTCTGGCGAATTGTCTCGGCCCCGTTTTTGCTCCACAGACACAGATACAGCCACACAGGCGTCCGGCTCGATGGTCGATTTCCAGCACAGAATGGGCTCCCTGACAGTAAATTGTTGACGTGTTCGAAAATACCTGATTAATTTTTTCCTGAACGGTTTCTCAAGAAATATCAATTACCTTTGTATTCTCCTTGTTTGCTTCCCCTCTTCCCTCTGCCCCTTGTTCCCACCCACCCCCAACCTTAAGCGACAAGAAGAAGAAGGTGAAAGCTCCCAGGACTTTGATCACGGAGGACGGGAGAGCCCTGAACGTCAATGAGCCCAAGTACGTGAGGCCAGGGACACTGCGGGCGGGCGCTGACTGTGTGGGGCCGGTCGTTACCAGGGCAGGTGTGCCTGCGGAGAGCACGTGTGACCTCCCGACCTCCCCCACAAGCTCCACGCCTAGTGAGAAGGACATTTGTGCACGTCTGAAAGCAAAAACGTTCATTATGTTTTCAAGTGCATAATGTCATACTTTGTTCTCTTGGCGCCCAGAAAATGATCTTGACATATAGAAGTCCTTGTTATTCACACATGCCCTGAAACTCTGGACTGTCCACAGTTTCATGCCCGATAATTGCCAGTGCATTATTGCTGTGTGTATTCATTTTTACATTTTTTTAAGATTTTATTTATTTATTTTTAGAGAGGGAAGGGAGGGAGAAAGAGAGAGAGAGAAACATCAATGTGTGGTTGCTGAGGGGTGTGGCCTGCAACCCAGGCATGTGCCCTGACTGGGAATCGAACCGGCGGTGCTTTGGTTCGCAGCCCGCGCTCAATCCATTGAGCTATGCCAGCCAAGGCTATGTGTATTAATTTTTAAAACTCTGCCACGAACAAGCTGGCTGAGAATACTGACACATCTCCTTTCCTTCAACGTCATACCCTGGAACACATCCTCAAAGCATCCGAGAGCTAAGGAAAAAAGAAATCAATATAAGTATCTTCATGAAGTTAATGAGAAAGGAGAAAATACTCAAATTGGGAATTCTCCAGTATGATAATACATGATCTACCCTATCTGGCTATCTTAAAATTCAAAACTGGAAAGCCAGCTATAAAGGCCTTTTGTAGCCAAAATACAGACCAAAAAGCCTGCGGCCTGAATCTTGTTCACCTCCTTTTATTACTCGAAACCTGTGTGCTTTCGTCGTTGGTTTGCTAGCCGTCACCACGGTGGAGGTACCCTCCTGAACGACCGCCAGGTGTTACTCGCTTCCTCTTTATGGCAATCCCGCCTGGCAGGTTGTGTTTCTGTTTCACAGACCCAGAGCCTGAGCCTCGGAGGGGTGGAGTGACTCGCCCAAGATCACATAGCTGATAGGTGGTGTGTCTGACTTGGTCACGCTAGCCCAGTTGTAGTGATGTCCACAGTCAAGGTTATGACCTCCCCCTCCCCCTCCCCCCCCAGCCCGCACACGCACCTTCTTTATCCGGTAGGCATCGTGTGGCACAAGCCGTGATGCCGGGCACTGGCGATACAGCAGTGCATGTGGCCGGTTTCTTCCTTCATGGAGATTAAAAATCAGCTCTGGCAGGGCTTAGGAGACCCCCAGCGCTCTCTGTGTCCCTAGTGAGACCACCATTTCTCCCACCACACTGACCACTTTACCGGTCCCTAAAACTCATACTGTTCAGGAGGATTCTGTGAAGCCCTGATTACCTGTCACCTCTACCACCTCTGTCTGTCATGCTGTGGTCATCCTTCCCATCCCTCCTGGGTCATCTGTCATCATCCGGAATCTTATTCCCACATGACTCTGTACACCTTCCTATCCAATTCATTCTGTTTCCCCTCCAAGACCCGCCCCCCACCCCGACCCACTGTGCCCTCTGGAGCTTACGCAGTGTCAACAAAACCTGGACAATTACAATCGCATGTTAAGCGGTTTCTGTGGTTCCTCTCTTGGCCCCTATAATCCCTTCCACCCGGTTGAGTAAAGAAGGAGGAAGGGAGGGAAGGACATGCACCAACCTTCTTTAGGAAAATTCCTAGAAAGTGCCATGCAACACTTCCCTTCACAGAACTAAACCATATGATCTCATCTAGCTGCAAGGGAGGCTGGAAAATGGAGTCTTTATTCTGCAGAGCCGTGTGCCTAGTTAAAACCAGGGGTCCTGTTCCTAGTGAGGAAAGGGGAGCAGATAGTGGGGAATGATGGGGATCTCTGCCATAGAAAACCTCTCGGCAATGACCTTTCAAGCGACGGAGAGTTGATGTTGCCTGGCTGGAAAAGCGGGGAGTAGCAATTGAGGCAAGGGGCCAGCATGGAAAACAGCTCCTGAGATGGGATAAAAAAATGCATAGGTCGTTTGAGCCACTGAAGTCCTTCACAGCTGGACTGTTGAAATCAAGGACAGTGACAGCCACAAGTCACTTGCTGAAAGTCAGAATATATTTAGCTTATATTCTTCCATATTGTTTGGTTATGTGTTTTACAGAATAAGGTGATCGGTGGAGTGCTCACAATAAAATTGACCAAGTCATTCTGAAATAGTCATTCTGAACAGTGTGGAATTACCCCCAGGACTCAGCCTCAGGGTAGAGCCGAAAGACTTAGGGCTTTAAAGTCCCACCTCTCCGGGCTCCTGTGGCCTCTGCCGCAGCCACTATAGCTTCTCTGAGCCTCTGTCTCTTCATCTGCAAGATGCGGATGACGAGCCACGGGCAGTGTTTCAGCATCTCCCAAGGTGATGGAAAGGCCAGCGATGAAAGGAGAAGAGAAAAGACGGTGAGGAAAAAGGAGCCGAGGCTGGTTAAAACTTAATGAACAGAATACTGGACGAGGGGAGAAAAGTGCAGCTTTTCGTTCTCCATGATATTTGCAGTGTTTTAGTTCGCTCCTAGCAACTCCAGCCACATGGAAGAGAAAACTTTAACCACCAGATGTCCCTCTCTCTGCACCAATGCTATTTTTCTGTATGCAATTTACCTTAAGATTCTCACATTTAAACAGTGTAAACAAATAGCTTATGAATATATTACAGATTTCTGTTGAAATTTTTCAATTACACAGACATTCTATTATTCAACTGCCAAAATGTTTGTCACTGGAAATTGTTATATAATTACTATGAAATTTACTTTTGATAGTGGGATGAGGCTGTGTTGTAAAGTATTGCTAAAGACGTCATCTTTTTCTTTTTTGTCTTTTTCCTGAAATGGGTGATTCCTTAGACTTGATTTCTCTTTGAAAGAGGATGAAAAACGTAACCAGATCATCCTGGACCTGGCTGTGTACAGGTAAAGACATTTTACTGTGCATTTATTTGTTGGTATTTCTGCCCGTTTTCATTCTCAGTTGCAATCTCGTGAGTTGTGAGACATTTTGAAATGAAACTCGGTTTGATACAAGACAGCACCTACCACCCTCCCAGCTCTTATTCCTCCTCCCCTCCCCTCCCCCTGCCTTCTGACTTCTACCTGACAAGCTATCAGTTCACTTCTATTTTAAAAAATGTTGGTCAAGGCAAGAACTTCGTTTTGTTTGTTTGTCCCTCCCTCCTTACATCTCCAGCACCTGAAACAGTTCCTGGCACCTGGTAGGAACTCAGTAAGTACAGGGATGGATGGATGGGTAGATGGATGGATGGATGGATGGATGGGTACTGATGGTAGGAACCAACGAGCATTTACATGCATGAATCATGATACAGGTTTTTCTCTTTTTAAGAACTGTTTTGCATGCTCTATTTTATTTAACCTCTTGTAACCCAGCAAAGTAGGAGGGATTATTATCCTGGAATTATCCAGGAAGGGAAAAGTTTTCAGAGAGCGAGTCTTGTCAAAGTAAAGAGAGTAATTGGAGAGGCCAGAACATGAACCCCTAGGCTTAGTTCTGACTTTGTTTTTTTTTTAAACTGTGGTAAAACACATAAATTAAAATGTATCAATTCAGCTGGTTCAAGTGGGTACCTCAGTGAAATTGAATACATGTGCATGCTGTGCAGCCATTACTCCATCTCCTTGTAGGAGGTTCCAGTGCCCCGAAAGGAGCCCCCGAACCCATGAAGCAGTCCCTCCTCGCTTCCCGTTCCCCTGACGACCCCGATCTGTTTTCTGCCTCCGCAGATTTGCCTCCTCCAGATACTTCATACGTATCACATGTATGACGTGTGATACATTGAACCACATGTGACCTTTGTGTCTGGCTTCTTTCACACAGCGGGATGTCTTTAGGCTTCATTCGTGTTGTGGCACCTGTCAGAACTCCCTCCCTTTTCATGGCCGACTAATATTCCACTGTGCGGATGTGCCGCATTCGGCCACCCACTCGCCCATTGATGGGCATTCGGGTTGTTTCCGCCCTTGGCTGTTGTGAATAGGGGGCTAGCTCTCAGTGTGGTCCCTTCCTCTGCACCCCAGCTGCCTCTCCCACGTGCCCATGAGTCCTTCAGCCTGCCCCCTACCCCCGTGCAGCCTGGGCACCCGACATGCCTCGAAGGAGCTCCCGGCTCTTCCCCGCCGGCTCCCCGCCCACTGTTCCTCCAGCTCCCCAGGCTGCCCCCTCGCTGTTTCTCCAGTTAAGCATTCTCTGGTACATCTTTTTTGGGCCTTTCCACTTTTAGGCCTTATTCCTGGAGTTTGATGAGTATGCAGTCTTTTCTCTTGTTAGCTCTGCTGCCTGCATCACCTTCAATCTTCAAAGGAAAACTTTCCTCATCCCCGTGTGCGTGCATTTCCAAAGGGCAGGGATACGTCTCCTGTCCAGGGGGTGAAATCCTTCCGTTCCCACGATGCTGTCGAGACCAATGACACGAAAAATCCCTCGTTATCTTCATCGGCATGCGGCCGCACTCATGAGGTCCACACATTCATTCATGTATCCTTCCTGCCTTTATTCAACGGATACCGATAGGACACCTACTCTGTGCCGGGCACTGGGAGACTGTAGCTGGCCACTGTCCTGTAGCTTGAGGCCTGGCGGGGCAGACAGACAGACGGTCGGCAGGCAGGCAAACAGTAGGTCCTCGCAAAGGGAGAAGAGCGCCCCGAGGGAGAGGCACAGGGACCGGGGACAGGGAAGGGCGACGGTGTGTGGAGTTTGGTGGCCGGGGGCGTGGTCAGGGGAAGTCAGCACCGTGGGCCCTGGAGAGGTGAGGAGGAGGGAGCAGCAGCGAGGTCTGCGCGGCACCGGCGGGAGGTGGTTTTCAGGCATAGGAAGGCAGCGCCCGCAGAGGTGTCGCTGTGGATGGGGACAGGTGAGCACCTTGGGAGGCCCTGAGCGTGGAAAAGAACATGCCATCCCTTCGTGTGGTAGATATTACACATGGCATTTTAGGAGACCTTGGTCATACTATTCCTTGTTATCATAAACTTTAGAAAGACTTTGTTATTTATCTTTAGAGGGAAAGGGAGGGAGAAGGAGACACGTCGATGTGAGAGAGAAATACCGACTGGTTGCCTCTCACACGCACCCTGCCTGGGAACCGAATCTGCAGCCCAGGCTCCTGCCCTGGCCAGGGATTGAGCCTGCAGCCCTTTGCTTTGTGGGATGATGCCCAACCAACTGAGCCACACCAGTCAGGGCTAATATCATACTTTTATTAAGTAAAATTGAATGATACTTTATAAACACGAACTATGTACTAGGCACCATGCATGTGTCTTCATAGCAATGTAGGGGAATAGGCACTATTCATATGCCCATTTCACAGGTGAGGAAACTGAGGCTTAGAGCGGTAAAGGAACGTAGTCCGAGGTAATAAAGCAGGAAGGCGTGGAGTCCTCGGTGCAGGACTGTGTGACTGAAGCCCGTGCCCGTAACCCCAGGGTCACCTACCTGCTGGGATGTTTCTGATTTTTGAGCCATCACTGCATTTTCTAATGTTGGCAATCGCTATTTTAAAATGTGTAAAGATGGTTATTTGGCTAAAGGAGGGAGGTGAGATCTACATGTTTCATGTGTTCAGGAGGTGGAGGAGGGTGATTGCCACCTGGTCCTGGGGACACGGCCACAGCGGGGTGCTCTGCTCGCTCAGCAGGCTGTGCCTTCCCAGGGAGAGGCGGAGCCAGTGGACCAGGGCGTGGCATCAGGGCAGCAGTGGGGGGGGTGGTGTGGAGAGCTGCTGAGGAAGCAGGAGCCAGGGGTGGTCCCCCGCACCCCCCCCACCCCCCTGTAGAGTTCAGTCAGCAGTCCTGGCTGTTCAGGTCAGTCTGAGGGGCTTAAAATAAAATATTCATGAAGAACATGGCACGCTGTGTTTTTTTTCAAACCTCTGGTGTTTCAGGCCTCCGCTGTTTTTTGGGTGAGGGCACTCAAAGCCAAGTGTGCCGCTGGGTCTAAAAATGAAATCGCCGACGTGTTGAATTTCCTTTGGTCTGAGCATTTAACTCAAGGCTAATTTCTTAAGACCTGTTTAGCATGGAAAACTCTGTGCATTTACAACAGTAGGCCCCATACGTGTGAGTTTGCATTTGTAAATTAATTTGCACACTTAATGGTTTTGGAAAGTCACAGGATTTCTTATGTTTAATATGTTGGATTTTCAAGGTACATGGACACCTCTCTAATCAACGTCGATGTGCAGCCGACTTACGTGCGGGTAATGGTCAAGGGAAAGGTAGGTGTGAGCTGCCCTGTCCCGACTTCCAAAGCCACGCCTTGGACAACGCTAGGCTGCCCGAACATTGTTTGAAGTGATATTAAAATAGAGAAGGGGAAGCCCCACCAGAGAGCTGTTTTTTAGGCACATGATTTTATGCCACGGGAGCAGTGCTCAGCGGGCAGGGTTGCTGACCACTGTGCCGCTTGATAAAATTAATATTTTTAACCCGTGTCTGTTGCGTTGGTACTTTTTCCGAAGCAATTATGGATGTTGTGGCCTATGCTTGAAATTATGTCTAAATGATATCCCAATTTTATTTATTTTACCGTATTTTTTCTCACTACCACTTTAGTCCCCTGGTACCCCCACCCCACCCACCGCAATCACCACACTGTCACCCATGTCCAGGAGTCCTTTCTCCTTTTTGCTCAATCCCTCCACCCCTACCCTCTTTTAAATTGAAATTGCCAGTGCTTTCATTCATAGTAACTGTAATTTCACCATTTTTGAAATAGTAGTTTTTGCTAATTCTAAGCATTCGTGTGAGGTAGCTTGAAGACTTTGGAATGGAAATATGTTGATGTTTTGTGACAGTGACATTTACTACAAATCCTTTGTCAGCCATGTGGACATAAACAGACCATTGTTTGTGATCAATGATTGTTCTTTAGACTATTCATTAAAACAGGTAAAATAGTTCATGCATATCAAGCGTAGCCCGTATATTATTTTCTTCCCAGTAAGTCTAAGCACATTTTAGGAAATGGAATGACGACTCCTAAATCTGCAATGAAAACATCTCTTGAAGTAACGCCTCTCTCACATAAGATGCGCCTGCTCACCGTGACATGCCCTCTCCCTCCGCAGCCCTTCCAGCTGGCCCTCCCGGCAGAGGTCAGCCCTGACAGCAGCTCTGCGAAGAGGTCTCAGACCACGGGGCACCTGGTGGTCTGCATGCCCAAGGTAGGTGATGCCGTCTGGGTCCATTCCACGTCTGGTTTGGTGGGTGCCTGCAGGTGCTTGACCTGTCAGAGTGAACTGTGTGACTTCTGATCCAAGTTCTGTGCTGGTCGAGAAAGCCAGAAAGTCTACGCGCACCAGCTTAGGCAGGAGAACAAAGACCTATGAGAACAGAGAACCAAGACGAGGACGTGGCTGGGGCCCAAGGGAACTCATCCTGCCTCTGCAGCCTGCCTGCCTCTGCAGACCAGGGTGCGGGTGGGAGTTGGCTTGTGCACAGCGCGTGATTCTTCGAGCGTGCCTGTTACATGGGGATCAGTACTGTCCTCGCCTGTAACGGTGAGAGATGTGGTCGGCCTTGGCTAGCTAAGAACGTGTTTGAATTCTAAATATTGAGCTTAACAATTTTTTGTGACTTTGGGCAAATTTTGAACCATTCTAGGCTTCTCTGTTCTAATTAACACCAAAGAGAGATAATACACATAAAATACACGGTCCAGGGAGAGTACTCTGCAAATATTGCTAGTATTATTTTCCATATTTTTGTGATATAGACAAGATATTATTTTAGCTAAAAGTCTCTACTGTCTATTTTTTGAGGGGGGGTCATGTAGATATACCTTTAATACGAATCACATAGAGAGACAAAGAGATCTTTCCAATCACCGTGGAATGAAAGTTCCTCTGGACTGATTAAGCCAGTTGAGCTGGAAAGTGCAAGTCTCTAGCTGGACCCTGGATACTTCAACCGATCTCTGGCCAAAGAGATGGTAGCATTTTGTTCAGTTTCTGTTATTTTATATTTGGCTCTTATCATCTCGTGGCAGGAGCGAGGGGTGGGGTCAGCCTTGTCCAGGTCGCTCAGGTTTCAAAGGAGAAGGATAGATAAGCCGGTTAAAATGGGGCTCTGCTTCTGAAGAAGAGGAAAACGGGTCAGGCGTGTCCTCCACAAAGACTGTAAACTCGATTAACCAATCAGGTTTCGGTGATGATTTAATAATCCTTCATTTCCCTATAGCCAGTTTTGCCCCAGATTGATTATGGATGACCATTTATGCATTTTTACTCCGAGGCAATAAAATAGCAAATATAATTTGTTGTCAAGCAAGAAAATAAACACAACCGTAAGAACTGCATTGTCCTTGGCGACTGCCACACATTAAGGAAATGTATGCTAATTAGAACTCCCTATAGGGACATCGGAGAGATAACTTAATTACCGCCACTCTCGGATGCAGACATTTGTATGGCCCTATGATCAGCAAGCAGGGTTTTTGTTTTTGTTTTTTTTTTAAACTTTCCTTCTAACTGAAAAGCCAAAACCTAACCAGTAGCTGCTGCCTCCTAGAAGGAAGTCAAGCCCCGTGCTCCTCCTGCAGGCGCCGGCAGCTGATTGGACGGCTCTGCCGTCCCTGCTTGTCGATCTTTTAGACAAACACGGCTTTCTAGTTCCCTTTCCCTTTTTGTTTTTGTACCTGCAAACTTTTCATGTTCGATACACCTGAGGAGTACAAAAATTATATATCCAATGACATATTTTTCCATTTATGGCTCTTATTTTATGTCCCTTAGAAATTTTTTTTTTATGGTCTTTTCTCTGTAGCTGCCACATGCTCTCTCACGTTTATCTGCGGTTACCTTACGTATGGTTTCAGCTCGCATTTTTAGTGGGAATGTTCCCCCATCGGGTTTTCCTGGAGTTTAGGCGTGGCCTCCTGCGTATTTTCTCAAGCATGAGGTCAGACTGAGCCCTGTGTCCGTAAGCAATCTTACCACCCGCAGCCGGGGCCTGCTGGGCACCTGATCTCATCACAGGCCACCTTAACCAGATTTCACTGAAATGTTGCCTCCACCGAAAAGCTGGCATCGAGTCATTCAATTAAACTCCCATCTAGATTCTCAGTTGACAAGTTACAGGAGCACTCCAAGAATACGCCGTATGATTTCCTTTGGGTGTTCTTGCAGAATAATTAACTGAGATTAAGGAAGTTGCCATGTGAACAGAACAGCAAAATGTATTTACAGCTTCCGGCTGGTGAACATATCTCTCGGTTCTGCTTACACTTGGCACAGAGGTGAAGGTCACGTCCTAAGGTCAATGTTACAGACCGCGATTCTAAAAAACACAGCCTCAGACTCTCTTCCCCTTACCAGTTGGGCATCAGTGCTTTCCACTCAGAGGTACTACTGGTCATGTGGCCATCATGAGTTCACTTTTAGCCTCTGATTGTTCGTTTCGAGTGGGTCTGTAGGGAGGGCTGCTAGGCTGTTCTGTCCCACGCATACTTCTACTCTTTTTAGTACATTGTTTCTCATTCGTAAAACTTGCAGAAGCATCAAAAGTTAATCTCCACATACTTCAAGCATCATCCCTTCCCTTGCTTGGCCTTCCTCCCGGGCTCTGCAAACAAATTGTCTGTGACCTACCCAGACTCCGCGGATGTGTGTCAGGTCCCATTCCCACTTGCCTGGGAGAGACCACTGCCCCCCTCCGACAGCCCCCTGTCCTCTCTTCTGCTTCCCTGGATTCCCCCTGTCGGCATCTTACAGTGGAAAAACACGCGGACTCCTCTGCCTCCCTAAAAACAGAACAAAAGGAAAACATCCACCTCTATTTACTGCCCTGATCTGCTTTACAGCAAAAGTCTTAACACAGACGTTTATGTTTGCTTGCGAGTGCTTTCTCGCACCCAGGCCTCTGAAAGTCGGCAAGTCTAGCACTGAGTTCTGAGACCCCCTTTTCTTCTCTGTTTATTCCCATTCCCTGCAGAATCTCTTCCAATCTGATGACTTCACATAACACCTCCAGATCTCCGTCATCTGCTGATTGCCAACTAGGTAATTAGGAACAGCAAACACAATGAGGAAAATGTAGGGAGCTAGAGTATGTATTTTTAAAACAGCTTAGCAATAGCAATACCTGTTAACAGAGCGAGCAATCTCTGTCCCCCGGTCCAGGAGGAATGGCGGAGAGGGTGAACTGGGTTTCCCGTGAGTACCCAGAGGCGAGGACAGTGCGGCTTCAGAGGCTGCCGCGGTGGCCGTGGGGGTTCTTATAAACCTCCCCCACTTTGCCGTGTGACTCTGAAGGATCACGACCTGAGAGAGAGGTGAACGAGAAGCCAGCCGATGCTCAGAAGGTCTTGCGGCCTGTCTGAATGGCTTTCTAAAGGGCCCCCAAGCTGGACCTTGAACTTGAATGAAGGCAGTCTTCGATGAATACCACCCACACATGCCTCACAAGTAAACATTACCATGAACTCAGTAGATAGATGGATAAATAGACAGACAGATAGTTATTTTTTTAGAGAGTACAGGGCACACAAAGTTAAGCGAGGCACCCACAGAGACACGAGTGGGGCCCGTGGAAACCCAGCCAGTGTTTTGGAGTCTGGTCATACCAGGTGGCTCTCTTCCCCCTGAGAGTCCCGTGGTTGTTGCAGATACTAAGTCGTGAGACAGAGACTGTAAAACAGTTTCAGTGTGAGGTCGCCCAGGAGTGGAACCTAGCGGAGGGCTGTGAGTACAGCAGGTTACTTGGTAAGGAAGGAGTGCGGGTCAGGGAGCAGGGGCGGGAAGGCAGCGGAGAGACAGGGTCCTTGGTGAGCTGGCGTCCCCGGGGGGAGCTCTGGGGCCCAGTGCAAACACCCGTCTCAGGGCAGCTCCGCGCGTATGGGCTGATGGGGGTGGGGTGGTGGCGCCCCAGCCCCTGAGACTCTTCAGGTGCCAGCTGCTCCCCTTTGGGGGGACCCGGGGGTGGCGGTGGTGTAAACAAATGCCCCAGCATTTCTGAACTGTTGCTGACACAGACCAAGCAAGCTAATCATGCGAATGGAAGATATTTTCGACTGAGACTATCTCTAGCAAGATTGTGCAAAAGGATATTTCCTTTTCTTTTAAACATCATTATCATCCTCGATGTTTGTCCTAGCTTCGCAAAATATTTTCAGTTTTAGGCTGTGCTGTGTAGATGATCTTCAATGGAGACCTGTCGAGTAGGATTGAGCTTCACAAGTATAAAAGCATCTTGAAGGAGCCATTGTTGGTTACATTTGTTCTCCTTTTATTTCAGAGTCTTGTAACTGTCAATACTGGTTCCCCATATTAATATCAGTAATTGCACCTTTTAAAAATTTCCTCCAACAACTCGGGTAACTTTGGAACCAAAGCTTTTTATGCTTCTTTTTTTTTATCAGTTTTCAAAATTTAAATTTTTCTTTGCTTCCAAGTATGTATTTCTTTGAGATAGAATATACTTCAGAAATGTTTGACTTAAATAGGTATTTTATCTGTTCAAAGATTTTATATATAAATGTAGTTTAATAAAAATGTTTTATTGATTCTAAAGTTTTATATGAATAATCTTCCTCTATGGGAATCTGAACTTTGTATACTCCAATGTTCAGTGCCAGAATTATGGACAGTTAACCAATCAATCTAAACACCAGGGATATGTAAGAAGACGTACAATTCACAAGCGACCCAGTTCCTCTGAAGCCGACATGAAGGTTGTTAGAGAGCAGCTGTCTGTTCCACGCCCAGGGCTGGGCCTCACTGCCGAGGACGGGGCGCCCAGCAACCGACTGCACCCCCCACCCCCCAGATCGGGGCACTGGCTTATACAGCAAGGCAGCCTGGTGTCTCGTGGACCTAATTTGGGAGACTAATTATGAAGAAAATAATATGGAGACATGTTTAGAAATGGCATCGTAGTGGAGATGTTAGGTGTAGGCACTTAAGCAAACCGATGATGTGCCCATAAATAAATTACATGGACATTGTTAATATCAGATTAGGGAAGTAAGGTGCTGGAACTTGGAAACAGAGCTTTCTGCAACATTGTGAAAAACTGTAGACAATTTATGAATTACTAATTAACCAATTTAAATATTTATTCAATGCATCAATGATTTATTAAGAACTCAGCACAAGTAAAGCACTGTGAGAATTACTGGGGAAGAGAAAAATAAATGATACGGGCCTCTTTGGTCCTTCTTCCTGTC